GGTTGCTATGGAAACGGCGGCCATATTGGATTTTGTATACCTTTTTCAATCCCATTTTATTCCCTTATTTAATAACCGATTTACTTCTAATTTGGCATGTCAACAGTAAATATATAGCTCTTAAATTTGGCTTGTTGAATATTTGATATATGCTTTAGTTTTTATTTTATGACACTTACAATTGGGATGTTGCGAAAAAGTGAAACAAATGGAAAATTCACGCTTACTGAGCCCATAAATCAAAAACTGCCCAATTAATAAAAAATTCAACAAGCCAAAATTTAGAACTAGGTGTTGTTGGTATCCTGTGAAAGTTACATTAAAATTGAACCATAAACAGAGCAGAAAAATATAGATAATGTGTGAAAAAATATAAATTTGAGAAAACAGCTGATACAGGTAAGAAAAGGCTAGAAAACATGTGCTTTCGAAGAAAAACCTGACAACAAAACACAACTTTAGGGTGTAGCAAGGCTCACATACGTGTCTGGACATTGTTCAGGAGATGTCCAGGTACTATAATATGTAATAAACCCAATTTGCAAAATTTGACCCCAAAACACGATTTCTAGGTGCCCCACCAGCCCTTAAGAATGATAGACAGTGACTTGTTTACCGCTACCGCTCAGCCCACAAAATAATTATACAGAGTCTCTCTGAGTTAGAACAGAGTTAATTTGAATGAATGTGTATGATCAATGCAAACGACCACAGTTATAGAGATTTTTTTTTAACTCGAGCAAACCAAATCTATCAAAGCAGGAAGAAACACCTTGATTATTGTTAACAAGTTGACAAAAGAAAAGCAGGCCTTCCTCTGGTCATGTAAGGTGTACCTTTTTTGGTTTTGAATCGATGCTTCAAAGCGGGCCCTACATATTATGTAACGAGGCAAGAACAAGAGTGGGAGCTATTATTGAGAGGGGGGGGGAAGGAGGGAGGGAGAAAGAGTGATAGTGAGATCCCGGGAGATTGAGAGAGAGAGAGAGAGAGAGAGAGAGAGAGAGAGAGAGACAGACAGACAGACAGACAGACAGACAGACAGACAGACAGACAGACAGACAGAGAGAAAGATAGACAAACAGATAGAGACAGAGACAGAAAGATACAGAGACAGAGACAGGCAGAGACAGAGACAGAGAATAGGAGAAGAAAGACTGGAGATGGGGAGAAGGCAGTTGAGTAGTTGAGACCCTCACGAAGACTCTGATTCACTCGGATCAAGGAGTTCCGGCACGGGCAGGTAAAGCGATGACCGCCAAACAGTGGTCCCTGTTGACTGGTGTGTTGCATAATATTTAGTTTACAAACACATTATGACCTAATGTACAACTGAGCGACACTAACAGGACTTGTCGACAATAGGGCCTACAGTACCAATGACAGAGAAACAGCAAGGCTAGTCAGTCTGTATGAGGATTCAATGCTAGACACAAAAGGAGTCATTCTAGTGCGGTAAAAAAAAAAATTCCTTGCGCAACTTACTGTCAAATATCTCATCAACTAACGAACAAATAGGAGGCACTCCAACTTATAAATGCTCAATGACTTAGAAGACTTCTTGCATCAATTTGTATTAATAGGTTTACAGCTGGGGCGATATTATATATAGCTTTCAAAAGCAAGTCTGTCTTTTTTTTTCCTAATCGCAACACAATGCTTATTGAACACATGTTTTGAGAACCTTTAGCGCTGAAAATGTGTTCACTATAACAGTATTTTCTAGGCCCTAGTTATAAGTTTGCCTCTTAAGAAAAAGTGTCATTACTGAGCTGTGACGAAAGCCATGCGTATACAAAATGTGTGTGAGAAGCGGGAAGTGCTGTGACCAATCCCATTTTCCGCGTGATGGAGATTATAATATAGAGTCTAGTATTTTATATAAATTTAAGAATAATCTATCCTGAATTGTTGTGGAAAAATTGGATTTTATTAAGTTAAGACATAAATTCACCCTTTGAAGAGATATTTGAGGAAAAGTTGCTGTGCCACGAATTTTTGCCCGCAGTATACCTCTTACTCAGATACAATGACAAACAAAACAGAGACAGTGTTTGGTGAAAAAAGGCAAAGGTCACAGAAAAGATGCAATAGGCCTAGATAAATAGAGATATAGATAGGTAGATTGATAGATAGAGATGTATATATATAGATATATATATATATATATATATATATATATATATATAGAGAGAGAGAGAGAGAGAGAGAGAGAGAGAGAGAGAGAGAGAGAGAGAGAGAGAGATTCACATATATACATATATATATTATATATTTCTAATTTAAAAAATCATGAGTGAGAGAGGGGGGGGAGAGGGGGAGAGAGAGAGAGAGAGAGAGAGAGAGAGAAAGAGAGAGAGAGAGAGAGAGAGAGAGAGAGAGAGAGAGAGAGAGAGAGAGAGAGGACAGAAGTAGAACAAGGTATTGACCATAGAGAGAAAAAAACCCACACAGAACAGAACAAACAGCTAAATATAAAAACTCCACTAAAGCTACTAACCTTACGGCACCGAAAATCATAAAGAAATTCGAGTCCGCCGAGACAATGATGTTTTTGCAATATTGTCCCTCAAACATAGCTCCATACAATCCACAACCTATCCTTGTACAGTACATACAGCAAGGGCAAACAAGAATTCCAACACAACGCTAGGCCAACACGTACGTCCCGATAGAAAGAAAACCAGCAGCCTGTTACATCAGAATACAGGACAGCGACGGACAATCTAGATCTAATACACACAAGACAACTCGTTCACTGAAACACCTTTGTGCCGATCACCACCGTGGTTTATAGAACTGATGGAGGAATCATCGTGTTCACAAGGAACGACACTAACTGTTGTTATGCTTTCTTAGTAACAACAACATCAACAAAAACTATGGTCCACGACTGCGGTAGAATATATAGCCTACTACTATAATACATGGATCTTTTTTTCCCTACGCAATGATTTCGCGGGACGCACACAGGCACACACACGACACCACACCACACATACGCAGTCAGGCAGGCAGGCAGGCAGACAGGCAGGCCAGCACATTTCATTTACGGGCACGGGACAGAGAGAACTTGGTCGAGATCTCGAGGCGAACCGAACCAATAGGGCGAACAAGCTCGCTGGCCCGCGAGAGAGGCGTAATATCGATCTCTGTATTAGATCAAACGCGCCAATCATTATAACAAACCTGGATGCAACCGCATTCGGAACAGGGCCCGCTTAGGGAACAGCGCACGCATGCACATGTATACAAATATACAGATACACTCACACTGGTAGACCTTTGACACAAACACAAACAAACACACACACACAACACACACTCACACACACACACACACACACACACACACACACACACACACACATACAGAGAGAGAGAGAGAGAGAAAGCGAGAGGAGAGAGAGAGAAAGATTGAGAGGTACGACACAAACACACATACACACACATGCACACACATAAATACACACATACACACACAAACACACAGAAACACACACACAGACAAATACAAACACATATAATCACTGAGGTATAACACAAATACTCATAATATACGACACACACGCTTTCTTTCTCTCTCTCTCTTTCTCTCTCTCTCTCTCTCTCTCTCTCTCTCTCTCTCTCTCTCTCTCTCTCT